AATCATGATAAGTTTTTATAAATAAAGAGATTTAATATCGATGTTCTTTGAAAACTTAGAATTCATTTTCACGTCAAGTCGAGAATAATAAATCATGGATTTGAAAATTTCATAGCAATTGCAGAAATTTAACAAAATCTAGCTAACCTACAAAGTTTGAATGAAAAGAATTTTACAAGTAAATCTCATAAAATTCGATAAGGATATTAGAGAAAATTATAATAATTGTGTAGTATCTTAAATGTTCTTGTTCTCATTTGTTTCCCTTGTATATTTTCTTTTTTTAATCAAGTTCATATATTAAATTCTTTTAATACTTATTCAAAATCAAGAATATTTCTCATTTCCAAATATGTTCGCAAACACGAATTCCACTATCTCATAATAAACGAACTATTGAATTGATTTTAACTTTTCGAATAATTTAGTCCTTTTTTTAATGTCCACGAGTGTAACTATATAATAGAAAAAATCATTCCGGTGGATTTTAGTCTTCGCTAAGATTTCAGTTGGAAAATATCGTCGATAAGAACACAAAACAGAAGATGAATGATGGTAGAGTTATTTCTATTAAGTATACAATACACTTTTCAAAAACGGTAGTAGAAACAGTATTGATTTGCTCATCGAAAGTGAGCTTAGTATCGTCATGTATACAGATAGTAATACGAATGCTAGACATGCTAACAATGTAAAAATGTCTAACACTGAACAATCATTCAAAATGGGAAATGAATGGATATAGCCGCAAACATATGAAAAAGTTGTTAATAATATATTGTTTAATTGTCATGTTACATTAAAAAGTTATCTAATGAACAAACTATCAGATTTCCAACAAGCAAGTGATAGTCTAACTTCTAATTGTTAATGAATCGATCAAGGAAAAATGTAAGCTTCTTCAACATCGTCATTCCAAACTGAGCACTGCAATTCTTTCCAATCACTGCTAAACAAAATGCTTGCACCTGGTCGAGATCAATATTTTGGTGGCAGCATATTTGATTTTGGAAAACGGGTTCGTAAATATTTAATTAGTAATCGGCATGAAGCAAGCATTTTTCTATTTGTAGCAACATTAATAATAAACATTTTTATGATAGATTGTTATGATATTACTCCCTAGTCAATGACTATCATATAATTTCTTTCTGTTTTTATAACTCTTTCTTATTCTGTCTCTTTCTCTCTCGCTTTCCGTCTATTATTTATCAAGTAATTAATGTTTTATTTTTTTTAATATTAATTCGCATGTTCTATATGAAACTGACTGCTGGAAATATCAAGTAGGTCATATAAACACCATTATTGATGTTGTTAATGCTAGCTACTACTTGAGTTTGTTGTACAATATTGGTAAAATCAACATTTTCTATCTATAAGTGAAATATGCATATTGTACGAAAAACAACTTGTCACACATACACCGACTAAAATGTCGAACACAAGATACTATTCTATAACAATACATCAGTTAATTTTAAATAATAATAATAAATGGCAGAATCCGTACGATTTGCATAATAAATACAGATATTTATATCCAGCGTTCTGGAATAAATCGAATATCAATCAGTCACGGCTTCAAACAATTCGAGTACAGTTTTTCGCTATTAGTGAAAACAATCTATCTTCAACTATGCAAATGCTTTTCATTGTTTGAAATGGAATCATAGAGTCTATGAGGACATGTCATGTAAAAACAACATGATTTTTTTGAAAGAATTTGATATTTTTTTTCTCTAATTATTCATGAATGATTTTAGAAGTTATGTATACTGTAAAAATCAGACCCTTGAGAAACTGTTTTGTTGTTTTGTACTGGTAGAGAATTGACACGAGTGTATTCTTATTTTCAATATTTATTATAAAACAGACATTTGAAAAATATATGTAAAAAGAAATATGATCACTGAAATCAGTTATAGTTGACAGAGTGTAATTATTTTGACGATTCTGACATCATTATCATTTAAACAATGAGAAAGAAAAACAAACCAAAAAAGCATTAAATTTCTTCGGTTGTCATCAAAAGAAAAATATTGCAAAGTTACAAAATCAATATGCAATAAGATGAAATAGAAATTAGTTTTGATATAGCGTTTTCAACTATGACTTCGCATTTTAGATTATATATGTATTTTGATAAGTCTGTATATAAGTGTTCTAGTGATTTTTATAGTTATTTTATTATTGGTTTAAAATTGGTTTATTTTTCATTCTCTGATGTAAAGTTTTGTATATATATGTCGTATCGAAGTTACACCGGTCGACGAAGTTATAACTTCGTCAACATTCTTGACGAAGTTATAACTTCGTCGATCGATATTGACGAAGTTACAACTTCGTCGTATAAACGCGACGAAGTTATAACTTCGACGCTCACAGTTATCGAAGTTACAACTTCGACAGAGAAACTTGTCGAAGTTATTTTTAATTCACTTATCAATAAATAATTTATTAAACTAAGTATTTTACTGTTGAATATATGATTAAAAAATAAAATTTTTATTAATAAAGATTCATTTTTTTTATAATATTGTGGAATAAATGAACATTTATTAGTAAAAATTTTATTTTTTGATCATGTATTCAACAGTAAAGTGCTCAGTTTAATAAATTATTTATTGATAAGTGAATTAAAAATAACTTCGACAAGTTTCTCTGTCGAAGTTGTAACTTCGATAACTATGAGCGTCGAAGTTATAACTTCGTCACGTTTATACGACGAAGTTGTAACTTCGTCAATATCGATCGACGAAGTTATAACTTCGTCAAGAATGTTGACGAAGTTATAACTTCGTCGACCGGTGTAACTTCGATACGACATATACATATGACGTATCAAAGAATGATAAAAAAAATCACTGTCGATGTGTATAGAAGTCAAGTGAATTTCGCAAAGAAAAAAAACAGAGTTCGTCTCGCTTTAACAATTCTTGCACTTGTCTATTTCTATATAGATATCTGTTGCATTTGTTAATGGATGTATTTTATCGAGAAAGATCTTGACATTTAGCAGCATATGTCCAATGATATTCACAAACATTTGCTTCTACTTTACATCTGTTTTCAGTTTCAGTGTATAGCTTTTAAAATTGTCCATGCAACGAGCCTATTTCGGCTATTAATGTAACAGTCGAAATGATAATTTGTTATGCATGGAAAATCAAGTTTCAAATCATAATTAATATTCTTAGTCAATTAGGTATATGCTCAAGTATGTTATCACTTCTTGATCTTTTCTTCAAGTTTGTTTAGTATTTGACATGTTGGAAATCTTGTGGAACACTCTTAACAATTGATCTTGGATTAGCAATGCTTATCATACCGATCATCTTGTGGATAGTCTTTCGAACAGCTATTTCATTTATTATTTTCATGCTCTTATTAGCAGTAATTGTTTTGATTTCAAATGCATTATATCTAGAGTACACGATACAAATACCAGATAGATAGATCAATGTAAAGCAATTGACTATATCATATCATAAACACATTAAGTCATGATTGATAATTTTTCAAGATTTTTTTCTTTAAAGCATAAGGTGTATCTTGTTTTCAAAATGTAAAATTATTACAACATACCATTCTATTTTGTCTATGACCTTTTCATCATTACATCCATTATTTCGCTTAATCGAGAATATTCGATTGACAGTGCACGACTATAGTAATATTAAGCTAGTTAAAGGATTGTAAATCATTTAATAGGATTATTAATCAATTGAATTAGATCGATATTTATTGGCAGATGCTCAATAATAAGATGTGGGCAGTTCAAAATATGAGCAAAATTTTTCTAGGGAAGGATGGTAGGATAGAGTCCGTTGATTTATCTATAAAACTGTTTTTTGACATATTCAGACAATGATCTTATAGTGAAACTTAGGAAAATTAGGTTTAAAAATATCAGAAAAGCCTGTCGAAATTAAAATACACCAAACACATTCAGTCTCGGTAACCTCAATATCTATCCAAAGGTTTTTTCAATTTTACTCGTCATATCGTTAGGAAAAAACCATTATTTGATTATTGAGAAAATCGGCTTTTTCGATATGATAGTAAAAACAAACATAAAAACTGGGTTCATATCCAAAGGTTTTCACGATCAGAACTTTAGTTTCAAAAGAAACGAATATCATATTGAGAATCAGCACAAAAATCTGTATCGAACAGTATACTTAATCCTTAAAACAAATTTTCATCATATTTCGACTTTAGGACAAAGTACAGATCAGATTATTCGAAAATAACAGTCAAGGAATGTAAGGGTGGAAATTTGACGAAAATTAATTTTTGAATATTAAGTAAACTATTCGATGTAGATTTTTATGCTAATTCTCAATATGATATTTGTTTCTTCTGAAATTGAAGTTCTAATTGTGAAAAACTCCTAATAGAAATCTATTGTTATGACTTTTTTCCTAACTATGCGACGAATGAAATTTAAAAAACTTCGGATAGATATTGAGGTTGTTGAGACGGAATGCGTCTACTGTAAGTCAATTCTGATAGGTTTTTCTAATATTTTTAAACCTAATTTTTCTAAGTTTCACCATAAAATCATCATCTGAATATGTCGAAAACAAACTTTTGTTCATATTTCGAATTGTTAACACTTTACAGCATTTGTGAAGATAGTTGTTTTTTTATTTCTAAAACTGTCAAGAATATTAAATGAATTTCTTCAGCTTTCTTTTATTTATTAAAACTAAACACACCAACAAATCATTACTATATAAATCTAGCAAATCAAAGATTAATCTCATTTTAACAGAATTAGATAAATGTATCTTTTATTCTATTGATATTTTCTTGTCACAATTTTATAAAAATCACATAAAGACAATAAACGGGAGGATAAATGACGAAAAGCACCTGACATGCTCGACGAGATTAAAATTAGAAAAGAAATTTAAAAAAATTCATTGTTTTTCTAATATTCATTAGTTTTCTTGCTGTTTGTTTTTTTTTTTGAGCATAATAAACATCACAGTTTAACTAGACCAATGCCGATAGATAACAATACTACTATCATTTGAATAATAAAAATTTGATTGAGTAAGAGAATATAAATTCGTTGAAAATAACCATAGTCCAATAATATAACAAATCATATAAACTAATTTTCGTTTTCTTTGACCATCGTTCATATCAATTAGATTCATAAAATCAGGTATACCAAGACTATTACACAATGTATGTATAATAAAAGATGGTATAAAATGACCTGTACGAATAAAAAGAAATGATGAATAAACACCAAATATATATGTATAAGAAAATTGAAAAAGATGAATAAGTATAATGGTCATTGCTGATAATCGATGATGTTTTTCATGATGATTTTGTTTAAAATGTTCAAGCATATGATGAAAATGAGCAAGACCAAAAAATAATGGTGAAAGAAATATTGCTGAAAATAATGATACATGGGAATAAAGTAAACATAAGATTGATGAACGAAAGACAAATTCTATAAAAAAAAAAAACAAATAATAAAAAAAAGAACCATCTATGCAAATTAGATGACAATATGGAAGATAAAATCTATCTGAAATTATCAACGAAAAGAAAAGCTAACTGGAAGAATTCTAATTAAATTTTTTTCTACAGAATCAATCAAATTTTTCAAAATAGAATGACATATTCTGCAGTTTAGTACTAAAGATCTCCAATGTTTTATTCAGGTTGCATCCTAAAGATGCAGTTTAGAACTACGAAAGAGCGAATACAATATCTAGGCAGCAGCATCTTTACAATCACCATATTGGATAAATCACCATCAATCCCACATATGAAAATCAACAGATTTTCGATCCAAATAATCAAAAATCTTATTTGAAGATTTCATAAAAACTAAGTATCATTTCATTCTTTTCAAGAATATTCAAAGAAAACACTTTAATCAACAATAATTTTATAACAATTAAGATTGTCAATCGTCTGCTGAGAGTCTAAGACGCTGGTCATCGGATTGAAAGTCCTCCAAGAATTGAACAAAAGCTCATTAGGTTGAAAAAAAACATAAACACTAACATTCATAAATTCATGTGAAAATTTCAGTGAAATAAGCTAGATTAAAACAGCTTAATTTTCGATGGTGAAATGGAATAAACACTTATCAGCAATTCAAATATTGCTGAAAGCTCTTTCAAGTGACTTGCAGCGTTTTAATGTCGCCAAGTTTTTAGTCCTTGTCAGCTGCTGTGCAATACTGAAATTTTCACACGGGGAAATAAATCCAGCTTTATGTAATTCTACGTTTAAATAAGCAATTTTATTCTATTGTCTAATTTCAAATATCAGCTCTTACTTGATAATAAAACCAAATTGTTTTTTATGTTCTGCTGAAAATCTTGAAGAATGCTCTGTAATTTAAATACAATGACTTTTCATATATTATTAATTGAATATCTATCTCAGATTAAAACTTTACTTGTTATTTGTTAATAGATTTACTAAACTCAGAGATGGTTCAAGGTCACGAAGATTGGGAGAGAGGTGTATGACTGCTGAGAAGGTAGGGTTCACAACATTTGAAGCAGGATTTGGTGAGCAAACAAACGAAGAAAATCGTTCAGTTTCTCTGGAGAAAAACAGATAATTTTCTAAGATTTGAAGCTTCTTTCCAGCCGGCTAAGGACACTCCTGACTAAACTTGTTCATATCATTTTAATATTTACCTTCTGTAAATGGTGCAACAAGATAATTTCGAATAAATATAAGTGTGTCATTGGTATTATGATATACTAAACAATATTTCCAATTATATTTATAATATTTCCAATCAAATAAATCTATCCATTGTATAATTGGACCAAAATATAACAGTAATGTTAATATAGTTGGATAGAAAAATAATATCCATATTGATGAAATATTTGTTCGAAAACCTAACCATGTATTTATATTTATATTTGGATTGCATGTATGTTTTAAAAATAAATAAATTAATGAACAAACAATAAATACAGCAAAAAATCTTCTACTAATCACATGTGGATGATTACGTTCATATCGACGTGATGATGGAGATAAAACATACAAACCCAATACATAAACAATAGAAAATGTTAAACAAATAATTATTGTAGAAATAAATGAAAGATAATCAAATGGTGATATATCATCCATTTATCTGGAATATATGAAATAACAATAGATAGATCAAGGTTTTTTTAACCTTCTCCTTCATTATATATATATATATATTTATATTTATATTATCTTCACTGTAACACACATGCTTTTGAATAGACGGGATAAAGCGCAAAAAAAAAATGAATAAATACTGTCGCACAAAATCGACACATCCCTCACGAAAGAAAAACAAACAAACAAACAAACAGAAAAGAAAAAAAAGGAAAACGAAAAAAGAAAAACATTATCGATAAATCGATCGTTCATCATTCATTTATTTTAATGTGGCATATTGCATGAGTTTTTGTTGAATGGGTGGTTTACATTTCACTTGAACAAATTTTAAAACATAAAGTGGTAAACATGATATTAATGTAACAAGAAGTACACGCCATATAAAATCCCATGATTGAAGAAATTCAGGATCGAAATGGGATTTAAGAACAATTAATGAAAGAACATAACAAGCAAGACTTAATAATTGGGCCAAAATCATTAATGGATGCCATGTTCGAATCTATTTAAATTAATATATTTTTCATATGATAAATATTAGAAGAAATTAATTCTCGTCTATAAACTGTAACAATTGATAATAGATTTCATATAGTTAACAAAAGAATTTTTATTTTATGATATTCTTACCATTTTACCACTTTCATATCTACTGATAATTTTATTCTTTAGACTATACATGTTATGAAGAACCTTGAATTTATCTGTATCTTCCTATGTAAGCATTCGTTCTCAATAATATGTCAGGAAATAGTAGCATTTACTTTTATTGCATTAGAATAAAGAATTTCTAATATAGGCAATTAAGCATCTTGAACGAAACAGGAAATTGATTACCCACCCAAGAGAGATAGATAATATTGATCCTTCAAGATTCTTGAAATTTGATATATATCTTTTTTTATTCATACTTTCTGGTCTCATGAGGAAACTTCTGCATGTGATCAATAATATTTTAGATTAAAGTTTGCCTACTAATAAGAAATCTGTAGATTATAAAAAAAGACCTGAGAGAATATAAATGTCCCTCGCAGTTTGATGAACAAATCGAATTTTTAGTAGAATGTTCTTGTTGAACTTAAATTTTTTTTTCAATACAATGATACTTTCAAATTTTATCCATATAAAGATTTCCATTAGACCAGCTTGTGTAAAAAATTTACAAAAGAATTGGCTTATACATGAAAATTTACATACAACTTGTGCCAATATTTTCCTAAACTATTCTAGTCTATGAATCATCCATCTATGTGCACAATTTGAGCTCAATAATTTTCAATCATGAAAAATATTTATAAGAAAAAATGTTCAAAAAGACTACTTTGATATTAATAAAAAAAACTTTTAACACAACTCCTATGGAATTATTTTTATGATAAATAAAAACATTTCAACAACATATGTTTTGATCTTTAAATTACCATATATACTATCACCATGCGTCTGTCATAAAAAGAAAAAACTAATGATAATATATTAGCTTGTATGCAGAAATGGGAAAAAAAATGACAGATTAATGTTAATCCCTACAGATCAATACATATTAAAATGTTTGTTACACAGTGACAAGAGATCAATTTTTGTTTCCTGTAATACAATTTCTTGTTCATTAATAATCATGTTACAATTTCATGAATTATTAAAATTAACAAGACTCAATTTATATTCGTCCGATATATTCTTAAAGGTTGTTTTAAATGACATTTGTTTAATGGAATACATTTTTTTTTGCTTCTACTTACAGTAAGTGCAACCATAAGTAATTCCGTTAAAATTAATGAAGTAAATGTAATAGAAACAACATGAATAAAATCATCATCAAATAAAAGAAATGATCCATACATAATTGCACCACCTTGATATATTGAAATAAAAACCCAAAGAAAAAATGTTTTAAATGATAAACTTCTTCCTTTTGATAATTCTTTATATAATTCTGGATAAAGTAATGCTATTTCAGATCGTACATCTTTATCTAATACCAGTGAAAAAACTGGAAACATTGTATAGACAGTTCCATAACCGACAAGTAAAAATCCTTGATAAAGTGATATAGAAGCAAAATAAAATATTGATGAAAATATTGCTTGCATAACACTTATAATTAAACCACGATGCATAACAAATTGTGATAATGCTGCTGAACGTTTATAACTATTACGACCATGAACAAGTAATAAACGTGATAAATATGAAAATTGATTAATAGAAAAATCAGCTGCTAATGATGCTTGTTTACCTAAAATAAATAATTATTTAAAATTTTGAAATTTTCTTTAAGAAAAAAACAAAAACAAGAATCCAACCTTCTTTTCCAACAATACCAACGCCAACATCTGCACTTTGTATCATACTAACATCATTTCCTCCATCACCAATAGCACAAACTCTAACACGTTTACTTCCATATTTTTTTAATAAATCAACAACATTTGCTTTTTGTGTTGGTGAACAACGACAAACAACAACAGCTGGACATTGAATTATTAATTCCATAAGATCTCTTTCATAAAATGATAAACATATTTGTAATGTATCACCTATTATTATTAAACAAGCATCAGTTTTTCTTCTAAACATATTTAATTCTTGTAAACAATCTTCTCTTGTTGTTATTTGTTTAAATGTATATATATCATGATCACGTCCAATTAATTTTGAACTTTTAGCAATACATGTTGCTGTTTCTAATTTATCACCAGTTAACATCCATACTTTAATTCCAGCATTACGTAAAATTTCTAATGTTTGTCGAACATTTTCTTGTAATTTATCTTCAACACCAGTTACACATAATAATTCCATATCACGTTCTAATGTTTCAATAACTTCATTAACACGACGATTACGATCAATTGTTTGTAATCGAGCTTTCATTAAACGTTGTTCAAATTCTTGATATTGTTCAGATGTTAAATGTTTTTTTGCAACAACTAATGTACGTAAACCTTCACGAGCCATATTTGAACATTCTTCTTGTAACCAATCATTATATTGAACAATAGATTGCATAACAACATCAGCACCTTTTAAATAGAATATTATTTCATTTGTTTGTTCATCACGAATAATTATTCCCATTCGTTTTGTTTCTGATGTAAATGGAAACATTTGTAAAATTTGATAATGAAATAATTGTTGAGTTGAATTTAATTGTAATGTCATAGATTGTAAATCACGATGAACAAGAGTTAAACCAACTTGTTCAGTCCATTCCACTAGAGCAATTTCATCGGGACTTGATGCTTGATATGTTACATCTATGAAACAAAAAAAAAAAAGAAACCGGTGATGATTGAATTAATTACAATTGATTGTTTTTGTTTAAAAGTTCAATACATGAGAAATTCAATAGTCAACTACATGGAATCAAAAAGTTAATTACAAAATATGTCAGCTGTTATCTGTTCGTTGTCGATTATTATCATGCGGAAGCAGTTCTTTTGTTTTTTTTTTGCAGTCTTTGTTCATCATGCAAAATCAAAGTATTTACTTCCGTTATTAGCAAACGGAAAAGATTTTCTTTTTTTTTTTCAATGTCATTAAAGTCATAGCTTAAGCACACAGATAATAAATCTTTGGAAGCAAAACTACAACTAAATTATAGCTATAATTTATTGTCCACCTTTTGATGATTCTAAAAGATTATTGAAATGAGAAACTATTCATAAATAAGAAACTTCTTATTATATATTTAATTATCTTTCTCAGAATGACAAAAACAAAAGAAACTCTTCTAATTAAAAAAAAAGAAAGTATTTCATATTAACTAACCTGTAGGTGATAATAATTGTGTTAGATCTGATGCATCTGTAGTATTCAATGATGTTGCACCTGTTAATGGTGTATCTGGTAATGAACTAATATCACCACTACGTCTTGTTATAGATGTTCGAGGAGCTGTGATTGGATTAGTATTTTTTTCTTCTGTTGAACGAGCAGATGTATCTAATGATGTTGATGTTTTTTCTTCAAATACTGGTGTTACATTATGACATAAAGCTAATGCTTTAACAGCTTCGGGAACTTTAGTTGCTTCAGTTTTTTTAACAACATTACGTGTTTTACCAGATGGTAATGCTGATGCGATTGATTGTTGATTATCATGTATAGGTGTTGTTGCTATTGTTGTTGTTTTAAATTGTTGTTTAAGTAAATTAGATACTTCAGCTTGATTTTCATTTGTATATGATACAGTACCCAAATGTATACGTTTAAAAATCATTAAATTTTGTGTTAATGTTCCTGTTTTATCCGATAAAAGATAACCAATTCGTCCTAATTCTTCAGGTATAGTACTAGTACGTACAACTGTTTCTGGAATACTTTTATCGCGTTGTATAAACCAAGCATAAACTGTTTTGCCCATATCAAGATTAACACGAAGACTTATTGGTATCATATATGAGAATAAAAGAAAAAATCTTACTAAATATCTATACCATGGTCCACGAAAACCTTTTAATATAAGCATAACCACAGATAAAAGAACAAGTGCAGCAAATAACAATTTTGTTAATGTATTTATTTCAATATCAAGTAAACCAACTTTTGATCTTGGTTTACTTGTATTCATAACCATACGTGTATCGGATCCAGTATATACAACACAACATACAACTTCACCTGTTGCAACAACAGTACCAGACCATAGAACATTTTCAACTGTTAATGGTTCATCTTGTTTCCATGATATAACACCATTAAATTCATGTATACTTAAACTAGGAGGTTCAGCATGAATTTTAGCTGTTGCACTTGTTTCAGATATTAAAACAGATAAATCTTCAAGTGAGTGTGTCATTGGAGCAGCTATACGTAATTTCCAATCAGTTTCACCATCTAATTGATCAGTCCGAATAAAACAAGTACCTAAACATATATTCATAAATAGAGTTTTGTTTTCTTTGTTTTTTTTTGGACGGATCTAGTTAATGGAAATCAAAAGATTATCAATACTCTCCGGAGATTTTCGAAGC